ACAATTGCCCACATTGTTTCCAACTGCAAAACTATACAATCCCAAAAAAACATGGACATTTATTCACTACTGTATATTTTTGAAACGTGCAGATTTATCCACAACATTCAAATATCAAACATTTCAATATCACCCTTACCACTGTTAACCAAATCCACCAATACAATACCTACCCGTAACAACCAAACATTGAGGACATAAGCTACAAGAACCACTAGTGGACAACGTAGCATGTTGACAAAAGGCTTGAACATCTACAACAAGATTACAGCATGTCGCAGAATAAAGCCCTTTCAACAAAGACTCAAAAAAGTAATCTTCAACAATTTTTCTCTGCGCAAAGAGCATGACAACAATGAAACATTCCCTAGTATAATTATTTTCCTACGAACACATACGAAAATGACAAAATCCGCACTAGCTGGTTCTTTGGAAAGAGCTAAATATCACACGATTCACACGCGTGCCGAAAGTACTTTCAATGCGTGTGCTGAAAGTACTTCCAGCACACGTGCGGAAAATACTGCTTACATTATTTGTGATTCACGTCACAATTAATTTACTTTCAATACGTGGGTTGAAAGTAGGTACTTTCAGCACGTGTGTTGAAAAGGAAAAGAAATAAAATAAGAGAAAATTGGTGTAAATCGGTTTCTGGTCGTAGGAAAAATGGTGCGCATCACTTGTGATAAAGCGTCTTTCATACACTCGTGTAACATTTGTCACTTTCTACACTCCTTATGTGATATTACTTTTCTGTACGCACAATCGAGATGCATTTATTGTTTTCTTTCTCTATCTTGCTCAGTCTAATAAATTTTATATGTACAGGGTGGCCCAAATTCGAGCCTCATCATTGGGATCTCGGTAACCGTAAGAGATACGGGGTCGGTTAAATTATGGCAAAGCTGCGCAATTTTATGACCAATAGAATGCCGTTTTTAAACTAGAAAGATTCCGAATACTTCCGGAGATATTCGGAAAAAACCGAAATTTTGTAAAATCGTTTTTATTTTCTCCCGGGCTTATTTGAAAAGCAATTTTAAAATAAATGGCACTTCATCATTGTCACTTTTTCTCCTTTAGAAGATGGTGCTACTAAATTTAACATTCGACGTTTCGTCTTCAGGCGGCCATCCTCAACTTAAGTTTTTTAAATACGGACCTAGATTTTTTATTTGCGATTTTGTCATCTTTGGGCATCCTTAATCCGATACATTTTAATAATTTTTCAATAACACGGTAAAAAAAGCAAGTCCGTATTTAAAATAAATAAATTGATGATTCCAGAAAAACGAAACGTTGGATTTCAAATTTAATACCGCCATCTTGTAGAGAAGAAAAAGTGACAATGGGAACGTGAAATTAGTTTTTCAAAATCTTTTTAAATGGAATCGGGAAAGAATTTTAGAAAAACGAGAAATTTATCTTTTTTTCGTATAGTTTTCATTTTTTCCTGATTTTATTTAAAAAGATTGTGAGAAACTAATTTTACATTCCCATTGTCACTTTTTCTTCTCTACAAGATGGAGGTATTAAATTTAAAATCCAACGTTTCGTTCCTCTGGAATCATCATTATTTTTTTTTTTTTTTTTAAATACGGACCTGCATTTTTTACTGTGTTATTGAAAAATTATAAACAGTATCGGTTTTAGGATTCCCAAAGATGAAAAATCGCAAATAAAAAATCCAGGTCCGTATTTAAAAAAAGGAAGTTGAGGATGGCCGCCTGAAAACGAAACGTCGAATTCTAAATTTAGTAACACCATCTTCTAAAGGGAAAAAAGTGACAATGATGAAGTGACATTTATTTTAAAATTGCTCTTCAAATAAGCCCAGGAAAAAATAAACACGATTTTACAAAATTTCGGTTTTTTCCAAATATCTCCGGAATCTTTCGAGTTTCAAAACGGCACTCTATAGGTCATAAAATTGCGCAACTTTGCCATAATTTAACCGACCCTGTATCTCTTACGGTTACCGAGATCCCAATGATGAGGCTCGAATTTGGGCCACCCTGTACAGGGTGCTGCAGTTTGGAGTGTTTCAACAGGAAAAATATACTTCCAGACCAGATATAGGAAAATTAACTTGATGTCATGGGATTGATTTTTGAGAAACGTCGATTGTCGAAAACCGTATCGCGATATCTTCAATGGTACCATTAATAGAGGGCGATTTTCGATTTTCTCCTATTATGGAAAATAGCTATAAGTTTTTTGTTTATAATTTTTTTTTATTTCTGTGAAAACAACTTTGGGATACTTTTCTGAGCACAATCCAGTGGAGTACTCAGTTTTTTTTCTAATTCGCTCCTATTTTGAGATATTGACCAAAGTCCGATTTTTTCAAATAGAACATCCTATATATTGATAGCTCATTGAATATCTCTGCTTTTGCTGATTTTAATTTCAATCGTCGTTGATTTCAATGATATCAAGTTTGATAGGTTTATCTCTAATAGTGTTCGAAAAAAAAATATATAAAGTCTGTTTATTCCCCAAGTCAAAAATTTAGTAACTATGTTGGCAACACAAGCCTTTTCTACATAAAAAATTTGAAAGCATTAGACACTTTAAGTTAGACAAAATACGTTAACGCTAACGTAAGATTTGACAGCTGCGCTTGCGCAGTTTCTTTTCACCAAAAATAGCGTGTTACGTGTCACGTTATTTAACGGGTCTTTGCGTATACCTTATTCGTAAACGTTCGTTAAACCGAGTGCGCCTGAAAGCCAGATTGCCGGTGTCGACCTTTGCCAAATGTATTTAAACCTTAAAAAAAAGTTGTCATGTAATCCAAAATAATCAAAATACGAAAAATTATTCTTAATTTGTCCTTTTCACAACAAAATTTAGAGGTTAGGTCATGATTGTGAGATATAACGTTAACGTTTACGTGAAAATTTAACTTAAACTGATTTGTGAGTACCGACGATCACTCGACGCAATAGTAAAAAATAGAGTTTACGTTTAAAGATTACGTTAACGTGGTTGGTCAAACTGAAAGTGTCTATTGACAATTTTACATTGTATTGCGAACATAATGTCATTTTGACTTTTATCTTTAAAAAAAAAACATACTTCAACTGTTTCAGTCATAAGAAACAATGCGTTAGAAAGAAACCTTCCTCATTTTCCTTACAGATATAAAATCCTATTCTAGCACATTGGTTCTTATTACTGTCAACCCTACATGGGACCACGGGCTATAACCAAATTCAAAACACTGAACCACGGGTTATAACAAATAACTGCAACTAAGCAAGAAAACACAAATTATCCTAATCATAGTCAGCAAATATTGGATATAAAAGCCCGGGCCACACTATGGCAAATTAGTCGTGTCTCAGCGCTTCGCTGCAATCAGTAGGTGTTTAGAGACGACTCAAAGTTGGGGAACTATCTGGACTGATAAAGTTAATACGCTATCGTATCTCTATCAGGGCAGGTACTCCCTGACAACCCAGGCTTTGACCTACAGTGAAAAGGCTTTCTAGATTTTCCTGTAGGGCTGGTTTGGTTGTTTAGCCTTGCAGGGGTATACCCGACGTTTGACTGTCCGCCCTTTTTTGAGCCTCACCACCCGAAGGGACGTTATCTGGTCCCAGATGACGATGATGTGGTAATAACTAAATATTCATGTTTCCGTAATCTCCGTCCTGTAACAATATATATTAACTATTTAAAACTGTTCTGGTGTTTCCCTGTTACTCCTCCCTTCCCGTTCTGCTTTTCAGGGTGAATACCTAGTCGAGCTACACAGCGAAGCAGAGACGTTTCGTGACATTACGACAAAAACAGATATAATTTTTTTTCTCGAAAACTGTTAGGGATAAACCTATCGAACTTTATATCATTGAAATCAGCAAAAACAAAGCTATCCAATGAGCTATTAATATATAGGGTGTTTTATTTGAAAATATCGGACTCTGGTCTGATCGATATCTCGAAATCGGAATGAAATTGAAAGAGGCTGAGTACGCCACTGGATTCTGCTCGAAAAAGTATCTCCAAAATGTTTTTTACAGAAATAAAGAAAATTGATAAATAAAAAACTTATACCCATTTTTCATAATAGGGGAAAATCGAAAATCGCCCTGTATCAATAAATACCATGGAAGATATCGTGATACGTTTTTCGACAATCGACGTTTCTCGAAAATCGACCCCATGACATGTCGATTTTCCTCTGTTAAAACACTCCAAATTGCAGCATCCTGTACGGGTGGGCCAATTTGGAAACTTTCTTATGGAAACACCCTTTATTTTTAGAGATAGAAAAAAATGAACCCCCCACTCTGAGGCTAAGATTTTATGAAATTTTGATTGGTGCAAACCGCATTTTGATTTATTGAACCGTTTAGCCGCTAGAGGGCGATTCTCGATTTTGAGCAATACTGTGAAACCTTCATAACTTTTTTATTTATGAAAATTATTCATTTCTGTGAAGACTTTCTGAAGGCACTTTTTTAAGTGGAATTCAGTGACGTTCTCAGCTTTTTTCTATTTGGCTCCGATTCCGAGATATTGACCAAAATCCGATTTTTTTCAATAGGACATCCTATATATTAATAGCTCATTGAAAAGTTCTGCATTGGGATCACGAAGTTCGATTCGATTATATCGAGCCAAACGATGATCGACTCGAGTGGATTGTTCACGAAGCTCGATCGAGTGGAAAACCGAGTTTATTCGATTGTTGCTAACGTTACGCACTGAATTGAAAACGATCTCGCTCTTTTGGTTATGTGAATAGGTATTTGTTTTGTGTTTTGTCATTCAAATGTCAATTTAAATTGTTTCAAATTTCCACAAATAACTTCAAAAATGCTGTATCCAAAGCAGTTGGAAATTATTATTGATTTCCTGGAAAAGAACCGAGATGTTGTTGCTGGAAGAGCTGCTGGACCTAATGCAAAAAAAATCATCAAAGATAAGTGGCAAACTCTTGCTGATAAACTTAATAGTTTGGGATATGGGTTTAAGACTGCCGATAAATGGATGAAGGTAATAAATATCTCAAGGTAAAATAACATGTATGAAATGATGCTACTTCACACAAAAAATCCAAAGTTTAAAAAATAGGTAAGTATATTCTACAAATCATAACCCTTGATTAGGAAATATATCTAATGAATTGGAAAGAGATAAATACTTGAATACGCGAATGGCTTTATCTATGTGTAACTGTATTATTATATTTTCAGACATGGACTGACATGAAATATAATTTGAAGAAAAAAGCGGCGGAAATTAAAAAGGAGCAAACTAAAACAGGAGGTGGTTTAGGAGTTACGAAAGTATTGACTCCGTTTGAGGAGAGGGCATTGCAGTTGCTCGGTTCGAGTTTTATTGGCCTAAACGAGCCAGAAGTTGGTGTAATTATAACATATATTTTTTTGATTATATGTATTCAATGAAATTTATTTTCAGTTGCCAAAATCTTATTCAACATTTCCCTCAATTCCACCAATTAATGAAAACAGAAATGAACCATCCACTCCAAAATTGATTGATGAAAATATCTGCCACATCACACGTGAACACTTAAAAAAGGCTTTGGAGTCATCTTGTTCTGTCAGTGGATGTTCAGAATCTTATTTATTAAGAGATGATATACAGAGGAATCCAAATAACATTAACACAGTTTTATCTGAGGTTTTAGTTCCTCACTTGGAACAGACTCTCGGAGGTAGACTTCCAGATCTTTCTGTTTTCTCAACCAAGGAATAAAATGGGAGTTTAAAAAACGATACAGGCAAGGACGCAACCAACGACTACCCATATTCTGCCAAGAAAAGCAGAGGTAAAGATTCAGTTGAAGAAAATGCTTATTCAGAGACAATTGAGATTTAAAAAAAAATTGAAAGCACGTTGGAGACTAATTTGAGTGAGATTTCAAATTCTGTTAAAAAAATAGCACAAAATGCATCTAAAAAACACTGCCAATGCTGTTTCTGTATGAAAAACGAGAAATGAAAATGATTATAATGAATGAAATAATTATCACCTTTAACAATACTAGAATATTTTAAACTTTTGGGACATCCTTATCAAGTAACCATACTTAATGGTTATCATGATTAAGTAATTAGATAGAAATTAGAGTTAATTTTATGTTACGGTTAATAAAACAGACAAAAATGTAGTGAATGTATTGTTTTATTTTATATTTAAGTATAAATTCGATAAAAATTGGAATATTATCTAAAATAATTATTTATAATAAACTCTCTAACAGCTTGGCCGTCACCCACATCTTCATGCGAATGATTTCCATTCACGTTGCCTGCTTCAGCGACATCGCCCAATTCTTGTTGAGGTAGGTACATCTTGAACTCCAACATTTTCTTCAATGCACATATTATGAAGTGCAGCACATACTTTTATAAGTTTACACACAAAAACAGGTACATATCTTGCTGTCCGCTCTCTAAGTAAACATCTGAATCTTGTTTTTAGTAAACCTATGCATCTTTCTACGCAATTCCGAGCCCGTTTGTGTGCTTCATTGAACCTAACTTCTCCATCATTTGCTGGATTCCGAATTAGTGTAATAAGATATGGTAAGAGAGGATACCCACTATCTCCAAGTAACCAACACATTTCATTCGGATTAAGAGTTTGTAAATAATCATTAATGGACGAGTTCCTCCATATGAAACTGTCATGTGTTGACCCCCCATAATTTGCAAATATATATCTTATTTTTAGCTGACTATCACAAATAATTTGACAATTGATCGAGTGGTAACCTTTTCTGTTAATGTAGTTGTATTCCTCAAGTCTTGGTTTTAAAATTGCAATATGAGTGCCATCTACAGCTCCTATAGTCCCTGGAAATCCTCATTTTTGCAGAAATTCCAATTTGATATTATCTCGTTCTTCCTCACTGATACCAAATTGGATTTTGTGGTGAACGACATGTTCTATAATTATATTTGTCACAAGATGTACATATTTATGCACGGTGCTTTGGGCTATACCAAAATTATATTCTTCACCAATACATCTCTGTTACGAGCCTGTGGCATAAAATCTCAAAGTGCATAACACCATGTTGTCTAGAGTGACTGCCCGAGCAAGTTTTCTCTCTGGTACATGTGGATCAATTGTATGAGTTCTCTAGTTAGTCGTTTATTAAGACGGAATAACTCGACAAATCTTGCCTCTGGAAGAGAAAAGGGTTCCTGCTTGTACCTCAAAACTCGTCGAATAAGCTGAAGATTCTGGCCACGTCTATTTCTTTGCCTGTGCAAAATAGCGTGGACAATTGGTAACATTTTTATTTTGATGACAATTTCACTATATCTGTTCACTATATATTGACAAAACCATGACAAAACGATAAAATTTAACCTAATTCGAGACCTCCGAACCTGTCGAGGCATTTCGATCGAAATAAATCGATCAGTCGAATATCGTGAACAACTACTTTCGATTTTCGAGCACAGATGACAAACCTTAAACGAATATCGAGTTTCGTGATCCCACTGCTGCTTTTACTGATTTCAATGATATAAAATTTGATAGGTTTATCTCCAACGGTTTCCGAGAAAAAAATTATTTGGATTTTTGTCATAAGACACAATGTGTTGGAAAAGCACTTTATATCTGTAAGGAAAACGAGAAAGGTCTCTTTCTAACACATTGTTTCTTATGACAAAAACAGAAATAATTTTTTTTTCTCGAAAACTGTTAGGTCATTGATGTCATTGAAATCAGCAAAAGCAGAGCTATCCAATGAGCTATTAATATATAGGATGTTCTATTGAAAAATATCGGATTTTGGTCAATATCTCGAAATCCGAGTCAATTAGAAAAAAACTGAGAACGTCACTGAATTCTTCTTAAAAAAGTGCTTCTAGAAAGTCTTTACAAAAATCAATTATTTTCATAAACAAAAAAGTTATGAAGGTATCACAGTATTGCTCAAAATCGAGAATCGCGCTCTAGCGGCTAAACGGTTGAAGATATCAAAATGCGGTTTGCACCAATCAAAATTTCATGAAATTTGAGCCTCAGAGTGAGGGGTTCATTTTTTTGTATCTCTAAAAATAAAGGGTGATTCCATAAGAAAGTGTCCAATTTGGACCACCCTGTACAATCAAACTAATATAGATTATTCAACCTTACGTACCAGTGTGAAATTAGCCTCTCAAGATAGCCTCCAAAACTTCCGGAAACTGCCGAACGGCCAGTGGCGTCGGAAATATAGGAAAATATCATATCTTAAAATCTGCTCGTATTGAAAAATTCATATTTTCAGGACAAATCCTGACAAACATTTGTTATTTTTTCACTCTGACATCAGATCCCGATAGGCCGTCAGAGCGTGTCAAAATAGGGTGAAGATATCAAAAAAATAATATCTCAAAATCTGCTCGTGCTGACAGATTCATATTTTCAGGACAAATTATGAAAAGCATTTGCTGTTTTTTCACCCTTGATGAAGCATCTGTGATCTGGGGTGCCTTATGGAGATTTGCATTATGTTGAGGCACCTCAGATGACTTCATAAAGTTCTTCAAAAATACTTCTCTCAAAAAACCTTGATCTTCACCCCTATTTTGACACCTTCTGACGGCCTGCCGAGATATGGTGTTAGGGTGAAAAAATAGCAAATGCTTGTCCAAATTTCAAAAATATGAATCTGTCAGCACGAGCAAATTTTGAGATATGATTTTTTTTTGATAACTTCACCCCTATTTTGACACCCTCTAACGGCCTATCGGAATCTGGTGTTACGGTGAAAAAATAGCAAATGCTTGTCGTAATTTGTTCTGAAAATATGAATCTGTCAGCACGAGCAGATTTTGAGATATGATTTTTTTGTTAGTTCCACCCCTATTTTAACACCCTCTGACGGCCTATCGGGATCTGATGTTAGGCTGAAAAAATAGCAAATGCTTGTCCAAAGGACATCGCACACATCTTATGGGTTTTCGGGGACCGGTCGATTTTTTTAAAAATTTGGTATGTTGTAGTACTAGTGAAAATAAGTATTTTTCATCATTGCGCAAAATCTCTAACTATACAGGGTGACCCAGTAAAGTGGGTCCGAAAATCATTGCCAAGCCTTTCATTTATTGATGTTGGCACGCATTGCAAGCTACATATCGGGATTTTTTTTTCTATTTCTCAAAATAAAGCTTACATCACAGAGGGATGTCATGAAATCTGAAAAAATGAATTTTGACTTGCTATAACTTCGACATTTCTTGGCCGATCTTGGATTATCAGGCAGGGTTATAAAGCGCCATCTTTGGTCTATGTATCAGTGTCGTCGTACATTTTTTAAAAAAATTCCTTCTCGTTATACAGGGTGTGAATGTAACGCGGCGAAAAATTTCCATTTTTTGGCGAAGAATATGGGAAAGATGGAGGGTCCAATAAAGTTCTTTCTAGTGGTGACTCGATCACTAGTTCAACACCTCGAGACGTCTTTGCCATTTTTTCGATACATCGCGTTGCTATGGAAATATGGCCATTTTATGGTATTTCGTTTTTCTCTTGAAATTAGCGATTCTTCAATTGAATAATAACAGATTCCGTTTAAATTGCATCATGAAATGACTTGTATAGAAAATAGTCAACACCAGTGGCGTGCAAAAGGTGGTTTATGAAATTAAAATAAAAAAAATCGATTTTTCTGAAATTTTTAAGTTTTGCTAAGCTTTAAATTTTAACGCCCAGCACCATAAGGATTAAGTACTCAATTCAGATTAGTTGCTGAAACCAGGTTAGGACTTCTCTTTTATATGCAAATTTTCGAACTAAGCGAGAATAAACTCCCAAGTCCATACGGTGCATATAGGTGTGAAAGGTGTTATAAATAACTCTGATATGATGTCATTTTGGTTCTCCTCTTGCCAGAATAACTGCGTGACACCGCCTTGGCACGCTAGAAATTATTCGGTTAATTAGCTCTATAGTAACTGACTCCCAGAGCTCCAGAACCATCTCCTCGAGATCGTCTAGAGTCTAGAGCTTCTGGCGTTCTCCCCGGGAAAGCTCTAACTTCATTCAGCTCCAGACGTGCTCAATTGGATTCATGTCTGAGGATCTAGAAGGCAATTCGGTACGATTGAACTTTTGCCCTTGCAGATACCGGTTCACTAATAATGCTCGATGAGGCTGAGCATTATCGTCTACAAGAACAAAATCCCCGCCATAATTTCGAGCATGCCGGAGAACTTGCGGAATCTGACATTTATCCAGGGACACTTGGCCGTAGAGGTGGGAAACTATCGATATATCGATAGCTCGTTGCGTAACTAAAAATATCGAACTATCGATAATTTTTCCTGGATTATCGAATACTATCGAATTTATTATATTGGTAACACTGGGCGAATTCTTTTATTCATCGATGGATCCGTCTGCTGAAAGCATTATGAGACAGCCATTCCGATTTTCTATGAACTAGACAAAGATAGACAGGTCATAGATGGAGCCATCGGTGAATAAAAGAAAGCGCTTACTGACTAGGAGTGGTGACAGATCGACAGCTGATGCTGAATTCTGACAGGAGTGACGGAGTGACGGAGTGACAGATGGCCGACGTAGGGGGACGCTTCCATTTCGCGCCATTTCGAAAAGGTTAGGGAAAGTTTTTAAATTCATCAATTGCTTCTGCGCATTTTTCCGGATGGGCAACCTATCCTTGTTTTGCTGCTGTCAAATGACAAGGATAGCAATACATCGGTGAAAATGCGCATGTGACATTGATG